GCAGCCAGCCGCCGTCCAGCCCTGAAGGAGGAAGAGCAGCCACACTGACCCTGGCGCACACGTGTGCAAGGAAACCCTGGAAGGTCTGGAGGACACGCGTGGCCCAGAAGTGAGAGAGACTGAGGCTGAGGCCGGGGTCAGAAGGGGCTCAGCCTCACCGCAGTACTCGTTTCATAAAAAGATGTTTGCCCCGCATCCGTGTGCCTGGAAAATAATTTTCTGAAGATGCCGAATTGATACTGTGGCCGACTACAGACTAAACTCAGAACCCAAACAGAGGCTCCTGGCCCCAAACAGAGTGGGTGAAACCAGCATCCAGCCAGTCGCCGGGGACGGCCTGGGGGCACAGCCCAGGGGCACGCCTGTCGGGCCAGGCGGCCAGCCCCCGGGGGCTCGAAGCTCTGGGCAGGCACTGGCCTGGGCACCACGGGCGGAAGCCACTCACCCGGGATGCAGGGCTGCCCTGTGGGCTGGTGTTGGCAAGGCTGCCTCCTGCACTGCTGAGCGGGGTCAGCAGAGGGCTGGGGTGCACCCTTGGGAGACCAGCGAAGCAAGTACCACGTCTGCAAAGTGGGGAGAAGCGAAGGGCTGGGACGTCCAGAGCAGTTCTGACCTCCCAGCTGCCGGACCTCCTGAGGCAGACAGCGCCCCCTCCACTGTGCGCTCCGGGCCAGGCGCCCGATGGCACCTGAACTTGGAGGTCAGGAAGGGCCTTCTGCCCTCCAGCGGGGCTTCCTCCCGGACCAGCCCTGGGGCACCTCTGTCGACAGCCAGGCACCACCCCCCTGCCGTCTTTCCCTACCCCAGTGACCCACCGAGTCCTCTGGACTCTGACAAGTTCTCAGTGGCCTGGGAAATGCCCTCCTAGGCTCCAGGAAGAGGCAGGGCATCTCCTGAGCTCGGGTCTGTGGTCCTGTTACAAAGGGTGGTGGGTGGGCGGCCCAGGGACATACAAGGGGGTGGAGGGACTCCGAGCCTCTCTCCATGTGCGGTCCCATGGGGGCAGCCAGGAGACTCGGGGCAGACTCTCCACAGTGCCCACAGGTGACCGGTGGCAGACCCTGGAGCAACTCCAGGGTGAGGCAGGAGACGGGAGCCCAGATCCTGAGCACACGGCCCAGTAGGGTGAGCGTCCCACCCACTGGGTGGTGCGGGCCACCCGGAGGCACCATGAGCCTCGTCCAAGACTGGGGCCTTGGGTGGGCACTGGCCGCCCCCTCCAGCTCGGATACAGTGCCCAGGAATGCTGGGCGGCGACTGGGAGGGACGTGCCACCTGCACGGGGATGCAGGGCACTGGGGGACACTGTCTGGACATCCCCACGGGCTGACAATGAACTTAAATTTAACTTCACAGATTAGAGAGCAATGCTGTGACCCCACCCATGTACAGTTTCCATGATCCTGACACGAGCCAGGGCTGAGAAATTACAGGTGCACCCCCCTGCCCCAGTTCTCATGAATATGCTCTGGTTTTTCCAGAATAACACATGAGCTCCGTTAAGTGACCCAAATGAGGCTCCCAGAGCCAACCCAAGGCAGAAGCAGACCCCGGGCCTTCCGGCAAATGCCTCTCCCAGCGAAGACCCTTGTCCAGACTCAGGACCTTGTCCCTCCAAGAGACCCCAGGAGATCCCAGGGCTTGTCACCCTTGGGCCACCCACCCCACAACCTCACAACCCTGCCTCGCTCACAGGCAGGGAACGGAGGAGGGGACGCCGAATTGGCTCGGGGGGGAGGCAACGCAGAGCAGGACTCAGCTGTCCAGGCCCTGCCCTGTGAATCTGTGTCTGCCGCAGGGAAACGGTGCGAGCTCCCAGGCTGACTGCTCATGCAGGCTGACTGCTGGAGCATCTGAGAGTCTCAGACGCTGAGGTCCCTGGGACCTCAACACCACTGAGCCTGGGACTGGCCGCCACCCCCGGGGCCCAGTTTGCACCTGGACGGCGTTCATCACCAGGCCGGTAGTCACCATGCCCAGGCTGGACAGCAGCACCGGCACCACGATCTGGCCCATGATGGTGACGAAGGTCTCGGGAAAGACCCCATGGGGGGACCGCGTGAGCTCACAGCTGAAGCCTCGCAGCTTCCCGCCCTGGAAGCGGAACTCCAGATTCAGCTGGGTGACCACCATGACCAGGCCGTGGCCACGTGCCCAGGGGCCGACATCCGAGCCCGTGGTGTCCCTGTGCCGTCCTCCGTCCGCACCAGGGCTCGTTTCTGTGAGAGTCCACACAGCAGAGCCGCCAGGAGCCCCTGGGCCGAGGGCCAGAGCGTGCGAGTGAGGAACAAAGGCCGGTGTGACGCAGCCTCACTCGGGGCCCTGGCGCGTCCACTCCCCACAGATCAGGTTCTCCTTGGACAGTGGCTGTGCACCCGCCAGGACCTCCCTCGGGTGCACA